CCGGATTATTTTAACCATGCCAGGAATTGACGAAGATCTACCTATGGTCCTCAGCGCAGCGCAGTCGTATCGACGATCGCCAATTCCAATGCAGCGAGGACCACCGGAGCGCGACACCAGATCTCCTGGCGTCGACGTCCATCCCAATATGGACCGTGACTGGCCCGGACCAACAGATCCTGAGGTCTTCACCAGAGCTCAGCGTCCGCCGACACCGGCGAACACCATCTACGAGGTGCCGCGAATGTCAGTGGCATCCGTGGAAGCAGCTCTCACCCCTGGAATGGAGGATTTAATCGACGACGTGCTCGATGAAATTAACCGCGAGTCTCCCGACGATGACAGCCTGGGAAGCGAGGTGACAGGCACCATCAGACTGCCTGATGTCTCCAGGCCTCCGCCTCGTTACGCCAACATCCCGGCAACGCAGACGAGCCACGAGTACGTGGCAATGGCATCTTCAACGCGAGCGGAAGCATGCAGCAGCCGTGGGTCGCATTCTTTGAGCGGCCTGAGCACATCGCTAAGCAGCCCGCTTGCATTGGGAGGACAATGTGGATCATACGATCACATGGGCGAACCTGCAAACCGACATCATTTAATAGGTGAGCGCCCTATGCTTCCCATACCGCAGGGCTCGCCACCCCCTCCTACACAACCGCCGCTATCAATACCGATTTATTACCGCGATTATTCAGATCCACTCGTACGACCGGCTTATGACTTCATATGTCATTCCGCATGGTATGCGCAAATCGCGGCCGAACTCGCGTTGTGTGCGGATTGTGCGACAAGCGAGCACACATTTTGCATTTATAACAGACCGAACGCCGTATGGCGACAACTACACCTTATCTCGCGAACTTTCGTCCATACAACTCTACACTGTGGACGATGTTATAAGTTATTAATAAAAACTAAACGCGCGATTGATTGTCACGAGTGCCGTACTACTATAATAGATTTACGCGGACGTACCGAACACCTGACCTATCAAGTTTTATGTGAAGCGGTTATCCCCCGAGGAACACGTTAAGCAGTATATGACATAAAACATTTGCTAAAAGAAATAATACTATTATATCTTATATATACAAATAACCTACACATTCTACTTTTAAACATACTTATCGAATATTTTGCGTTATATACTTATATTTTACTTTATAAATTACCACTTAATTTTTCTTACAGTGTACTACTTACAGGGAACTGTCTTATTATTTAGCACCTTTATATTAGTGTTAGCACTACTTAAAATAATACAATAAACATTAGCGAGCGACCTTACTATAAGACCAACATTAACCTAATACTAACATTTTTATTCTGTACATGGTGAAGGGATCGAAATAAAATAATAATTTTATACAATTAACCTATGATTATGCTTAATGAGCACGGTGGAGGACCTTAATTTCCTTAGAATAAGTACTTTGAAAATTAAATCGTAGCAATCAGTAGAATATAATCTTAATTCTATATTAATAATTTTAACTTTAACATACATGCATAGAAAAGGGAAAAAGTACGCTGACACACGCATATAATAGAAAATAGAAAAACACATATATTTAGTCAACCTTCAAATGCAAGTAACTCACATGCTTTACTAATTGTAAGATTACTATTATAACGTATTCATATTCACACTCGTAAAACCAGCCCATCCAGGATAATTTCGTACCTATTCCTTACCTGAAATAAAATGAAAGAAAATACATTAATATTCTTATTCATATATATATATATTCATAAGATTATAAAATAAGATTGAAATACTTATCCTTTATCCTTATTAATTCAGTCTCAGCTCACTATTACCTCTTCTCACCTATAACAATAACGAAATATATTAATTACTGCACTCTTATACGATAAAACCGTTATATATAATCAATAAATAATTATCCTTACAGAGCTAAGCAAAATGTCAACGACAAGCCTTATGCTAGAAGTAAAAAGACTACATAATCTTGCTTATCGCCTGGATTTAGACGAAGCTAAGGAAAGAATACGCGGCAAATACTTGAATATACTTAAACAAAAATAATAAAAAATAAAAAAGGGGAGAGACTAAAACTTATATGAATAAATGTAGTAACGATAGAAATATAGCATTAACTTACTTTTAATTTATCCTTATCATATCCGTCCAACGAAATCACGGTGACAGTATAGATAACCAGCTCTATAATAAAATAAGAATAACCTATATTAATAAATATCCTAATAAGTAACATAAGGAATGAACACTGAAAACAAATATGCGCGTCTATATATGTACGCAAGTACAAATATACATGTGTATATACCCAATAAAACAAATAAAAAAAAAAGAGAGAGAAGAGAAGAAAAAAAAAAAAAAAAAAAAAAAATATTACTAATCAAATCTATAGAACTACTTAAGCACATTGCTAAACAATGGAACTATTACCTCGATTTAGATAAATCCAACTGCAGCAACACAGCTCTTACACTGCCAGGCACACTTTAGAATCCTATAATAAAAATCACATAAATAATTAATTATCTATAAATATATTCATACTCTATACGACATAACCATAAAATTATACTTACTAATAAAAGTTCGGGGACCGAACTTTCCTAAGGAGGGAGATGTCACGTCTGACGGTATAATCACCGCTATATTCACCCGCATAAATTTTTCGATTTTTCATCTTCATTGCTAGAAGTCCCCAGCATCTGAAAACAACATTATAATATAACAATTATTCTTTAAAATAGCTGTCACAACAAACACTCAGCTGATGCGAATACGCGTTCTTAAAGCAGTAGACATAAGCCTAGAGAACATGGCTGCCTTAAGGTACCCTTTCAAGCTTAAGCCCCATTTGCATGAATCACACTATAAACTTTTGGACAATTGCTTGTTAAAATTCCCCAGAGTCACTAAAATTGATCGTAAATGAATATTACAAACTTTATGAGATCTTTTATGCAATACAAATTCAATTCAACACATGAATAAATGCATAATCCATAAGAATAAATTCAGAAAATTAAAATAAAATATAAATAAATAAATTAAAAGCAGATTATTTATAAGAACATAACCTTTGTGCCTAAGGAACATTATCACGCTAAAATAATAATTATCTCATTAGCAATTTTTCAAACATGATTGTTATAAACAAATAAATTATATTATTAACAGACCTAGTTAGTGTGATTACTGGAACTATCACAAAAAATCAAATAACTTTTGATTATAAACCATTATTGTATCTTTCAAAATAAACTAATTAACAATAAAATTTATCATAAAAATATTATTAAAGATAATAAATAAAAGCACTACAGATACCCAGCAGAGCATGTCAAATAACCTCACAAAAACTCCCACATCATATCTCTTCTTAATTCCGAGATATAATTAAAAATTATAGAAATCCATAAAACACAGAAATTTTAAACAACCTAAAATAATGCCTTTAATTATCTGAACACAACAAAAGAAACCCCATATTTTTATCCCTTACCGTTCTCGAGTTATAAATTATTAAAGTTTCACATCCGCCATTTTGAATTTCCTACCCTTTAGACTTACAAAGACCAAATCACTTTTACATTAATATTTTAGTCTTTTATACATTTTAAAGCTGAAAAATTTCATTTCTAAACAAAAATTTTGACACTTAATTATTATGATAAAAATAGAATCTCTCATACTCCTAAACACCAGTAACGTTAACGCCGATTTTCTATTTAAATTAATTAAATTAATAAACAAGATTGAAAATTGAACATTCACTCCATGAAAGACGAGGATAGTTTAATACCAGTTCACAAGGTGTAAGACAAGGATAGCCATAATAAATTCTTAATAAATTAAAATAAAATAGAAAACGAATAGTTTGAAATGAGAACAATATATAAGTGTATACGGAATAATCGTTAGAATCGTTCGATAGAAAAACATTTACTACATAATCATTTATTTTTGCAATTTACTTTTATAAACAATCATAAACAAATTATTGACTATGTCAATAGATATTTTTAATTTATACCTCAGATTGTATATAACAACTTTTATATAAGTCAAAACTTTGTTAATCCATTAATGAAAGCTACACAAATTTTAAAAGAAATACAGGGCCGGATAACGGATATTTCGGCTTGGGGAAAACCACCCTTAAAGTCTGGCAACCCAGATCGAACTGCTTGCATAATTATAAAAACCCGTTTTGGTAAATACAAATTTTGACCACGCACATAAACTCTGCATCAATAGACCTACGAAAAATGATTATAACTTTTATTTCTGCAATTGTTTATTTACGAAATATTTATAACAATAAAATAACGAATGTTCATAAATGAGATAATATTAGAAATTCAAAACCTCTTAAACAAAGAGAACATAATAATATCAATACGCGAATTAAAGAGTACCAATTTATTTAATTAATAATTTGTTATTAACAAATACATATATTAACAATAAAATTTTTCAATGCTATATTATACTTTAGTGAAAGTCCTACAATATATTTCCTATACACCCCCATCAAATTCCCAACTATTCGTGAGATATAAAAATAATAAAAATCTTATTATATATATATATATAAACAAATTAATTTCATTAATTTCCTGTACTAATGAGAATGCTGACCATTTCTATCTGCATGATATATTATTAACCTGATATTAGAATCATTATTAACACCGCTAACATCACTTTTATTAATATTACTATTAACAAATATATATATATACTTACCAAAATTAATATAAATATCGAATGTCAAGCGCCAAAGCGTTACTCACGAATTCGAGAAAGATAAAATTGTATTATGCGCAGCATAAGGAACACGAATCCGAGCGAGATGCGAGTATTGTATGATCTGAAAGAAAGAAAGAGAGAGTCAGATATACCATATTAATTATTAGACGAAGAGAGCAATATCTCTTATACTTTAGACATGCTAATAATGACTTTAATTGTATTATCAAATTATTCTACTGTATGTAAAGTATGTCTAAAGAAATCTAAATAATGTTTAGCATATATTCGTACTTTTTACTATTCAAATATTAAATATTTTCTTCATGATAAAAGTCATATTGAAATTTAATAATGAAATTTAATAATGAAAAGAAGTATCGCTCTCAATACAAATCGTCGTTAGACTAGAGAATAAAAATAGAATTCAGACGAGTCACCTATATGACTCATTCGAGTGAATCTAGTCTTCGTCGAAGCAGAACGCCACGCATAACCATACAAGGTAATGAATTGCAAGCCACAACCCTATGACTCATTGCTGGCTAGCGAGCCACACCCCTAGAAGTAGACTCACATCCGCTAGACAACGCCTTATGACTCATTGTAACGAGGTGTGGTCACCTCCCACTACCGTTTCCAAAATTGTATAAAAGCAGAATCTTTCACCCTCTCGACGGAGAGTGTGGAACGAGCCAGGAAAGGTCACATATCTTATACTTGTTCCATCCTCCCACATAAACCACTTGTATCGTAAAAGTTCTACAATAAATATCATACTCTTTTATATCAAAAGAAAGATAAAGATTATTGGAGATTATTGAATTACCTACCTTCGACGGATCCAAGGAGCCATAATCTACATCGCCGACCAACAGCTAATTATCCTGGGGTTTTACCTCCTTAACTGCAAGAAAAAGAACCCATCAACGGAGACGTTCTGTCGGATCGAAGCCACCTCGCATCACCCAGGACGTCACAATAGATTGTTTCGTTAAATCCGAAAGAGGTTTAGCGATTTTAGAAAAGTTTTTTATGAATCTTCGGTAATATCCTGCAAGACCGAGAAATTGCTTAATATTCTTTCGTGTTTTTGGCATTGGAAATTCTTTTACAGCCCTTACCTTCTTGGGATCGGGTCGTACACCATTTTCAGTTATCACATGTCCTAGATAAGCAACTTCTTTCTTTAAAAATTAACATTTATCAGGTTGTAAGGATAAATTTGCTTCTTCTAGTCGTTTCATTAATCGTTGGAATTTAATCTCATGTTCCTGAAGTGATTTAGCGTATATTACGATATCATCGAGATATACGAATAATTCAATTCCTTGTAAGCCTGTTAATACCTGATCCATTAATCTCTGAAAAGTAGCAGGAGCGTTCTTTAGTCCAAACGGCATACGGTTATATTCAAAATGTCCGTAAGGTGTTGAAAACGCAGTCTTATGCTTGTCAGTCTTGTCCATTAATATCTGGTGAAATCCAGAAGCTAGATCAAATACTGAAAAATATTTCGCGCTACCAAGTTGATCGAGTATATCGACAATATTTGGTAGTGGATATGCATCACCGATCGTTTTCTCATTAAGCGCTCGAAAATCTATTACGAGACGCCATTTTTTGTTGCCTTTAGAATCATCCTTTTTTGGTACAATCCATAAAGGAGAATTATAAGGCGAGCTCGACGGCTCTATTACACCCTTTTCCAACATTTCGTCAACCTGTCGTTGTATTTCTTCTTTATGTACTTGAGGATATCGATATTGCTTGACGTTGATTGGTCTATCGTCAGAATAAGTCGTCACGATGTGTATTACAATTGAGCCAAATATATTTCTCTTCAATATTTTACAACAGTTCTCCTTTATTCTAGTTATGATACTCGCGAAGTTACGATCTTTGATATACATGACGCACGTTATTATTTCATGATTGACTGACACTGCCCGCCGCTCGTCGGAAAGGCGGGCGCTTTATCCGCTCGGTGTGGCTGACTTGGTTGTCAGCGTTTTTGATACTTCGATCAAAGGTCTAACGGACAAGTGATGTCTGGGATGATCATATTTGGTCATTCCCGAGACTTGTGCAGATCTTTGCGTCAGCGGTATTCGTCGCTAGGGTTGGATTTCGTATCAAGGGCACTTGGTGTTGCCAAGTGCATTAATTATTCCTAACTACGTTGTGCGCTCACAACAAAAGCATCATTACTATTGTCTTTGGAAGGTGGCATTATTATATATATCTATATAGAAGGATTTTGAAACAATATATTACTTATTGCTAGATATTAAGTATATAAGTATATAAGTATTAAGTACATAAGATTACACATCTCACATTGCAAATGTGTTTAATTTGTTTGTTTTTAATATGATTGGTACTTTTCCTTATCTTTTGTTAACCTTTATTATTAAAAAATTTACTTTGCTTCTTTAGATAATTGTCACTTAAATCTTTTCTTAAAATTGGGACATCTCTTTAGTCCAGTTCCTGTGCCACTAACAAATGGAAAGAGATGGAAACCTACTACCCAGGAAATGAAGGTAAATTATTTGAAACTGTATACTTGCGACAAACATTAACAAAGATGTTTGTTTATTTTTTATTTATTTCATTTTATTTAATGTTTGTATTTGTCCTTTTACAAAGTTATTCTATTCAGGTAATGAATGATTTTGTGCCAAATGTAGAACGAATAGAAGCAGAGCTCAACACATGAAAACAAAAATTCAACCACTTGTTATCGCTGTTAGACCTACTGTATCACGGTGCAAGGATTTTTATGTAGTAATTGATAAGAACTATTATAGATTTGATAACATTCGCACGGCAGTGGATGTATGTTTTAAATGCGTACATGCTTTGCATGCCGAATATTCTCCTCAGAGTGAGGCTATC